CTTCTTGTTGCCTTGGCTCATCAGATAAACGGCCAAAACCCCATAAAGCTGGACACAGGCGTACGGCGCAAGTCGGTCAATGGCCCTAAGTCCGCTAGAACCCCGCGCTCCTCCTTGCTGAGAAAACGCTTTGAGCTTTTCAAGCATAGGGTTGGCCGTGGCAGTATGCGGACCAGTCGTTGCAGCAAGGTATTGCTTGCCGTTCTCCGCCATTGACGGAGCAGAAGATGTGCCTGTAGGTTGAGAGAAAGAGGTCAAACTCGATAGACGAGCACCAATTGGGGTCGTAGTTGAACGCCCCTCATATGTAGGTTCTTCGAAGATGTCGAGAGGGCTAACATCCGGCGAAGGAACACCAACGATCTGAATATTTGACGTTCCTCCTTGTTCCGGACAGAAGAACTGCATGTATTGACAGAAAATGGATATTGGTTTAATAGCAAGTAAGGAGTTGAAAGGCTCGCAAGGCAGAACTACCGGGTTGAAGAAGGGTTTCCAATCTTCTGTGTAATTCTGCAATGTGCCTAGACTGTTGACAAAGGCGAGCTGACGCGTGAGGGCTGCTTGTGCAAGTTCTGCACAGCAACATTCTTTTCCTTTTTGGGGAAAGAGACAGATGTGCCCTCGCTTAACGTTGTACGCCATTTTCTGAACTGCCTGGTGATAATAAGTTGAGGAAAGAAAAGGCCGAAGGGATGCCTTGAAAGCGTTTTTCCGCTCAGGCACCAAACTGTGACAACATAGCAGAATTCTTGAGAGCATGTCGAGCAGTAGGAAAGTGTTGACTGAAGGAAAGGAAAAGGACTGAACCCGTTCGGTTCGCTTCAAGAGTGTGGCTATTTTGATGTCAGATGTAAACCGCGGGTTAGCTAGGAAAGCATGAATCGTGTAGCATCTGAATCCGTGCATTTGCACGTGATGTGCGATGCTGACTAGTCCCAAGTTCTCGAAGCTGGTGATATCAAGAGCGGCTACGATCTTGAGAAGGGCCCTCTCGAGTAGCCTGGATAAGATCGTGGATTCGTAAGACCTTGTAACTGAAGGCACCAAGTCGAAGTATTTGAGGCTCGACAGGATCTTGCGCTCCTGTTGTAGGAAGGGGTCCGTCTCCACCGTTAGGAGGATCGGCTGGGAGGTTTTGGACTGAAGCGGGATCAATGTTTTGGCCATTATCAATATAATCATACACGAACTGTTCACGGGACTCAAACTTGACTATTTCTTCCCCTTTTCTGAACCACACGCGTCCGCGGTTGTCCTTCAGGACAGCTAGGCGGCGCTGACTAGTACTGACCCAACCTTTAAAAATATACGGACCCTCCCAATGAAGCTGGAAGCCACGGATAGTACCGGGTTTCTGCATGAGAACGTAATCACCCTTGGTTAGTTTGTCTGCTCTAGCGCGGCGCTTACTATTCCAACGAGCATAATTTTCTTTCTGCCGGATTTGTGCTTGCTCGATCTGTAGTTTTGCTTGGTTTTGCAAAACCTTGATCTGAGCGACTCGTGCTTCATGGTGTTCCCACGACGAATCAACGGTCGACTCAAGAGGCAAAAGGTTAGGCCGAGGATAGAAGTGATCAGCCGGGATTATAGGCAAACGCCCATATGTGATCATAAAAGGAGACGTTTTTAAAGACTCTTGGTAAGAGGTGTTGTACTCAAAGAGGATGCTCTGAACGTGA